CCTCACAAAAGCAACCAAGTGGAGAGGAGGCTGTTTCACAGGGAGAGGCTTCCTCCCTTGGAGAGAACTCAGTGGAGAGATGGATTGTGCCACGTCCCGACTTTCATACGCTGTTATTTTTATTCTTCCCTAAAACCGTAGGCTCGCACCCTCCTTGCAGCGCACACCAAGCCCTGCGGTTTCGCGCCCAGCCCAGGGTTACATAGCTGCGCGAGGTGTGCTGCTGCTCCTGCAGTGCCAGGAATGCTGGAAGGGGGCCAGGCGCTGTTGGTAAATACAGGCTGCAGTTTGACAGTAATTGCTTTCTTCCTGGAGTTTCAGAAATTACATGCAAAAGCCAATGAAGTGAGAGAAAGCATTCTGTTTTAAGTGCATTTCGTATCAGATGCTGTTTTTGTTATTTTCACTCCTTTGAATGTAGTGCAGTAGTAGTATATACAAAGTCTGTAATAGAGGAGCAAGTCACATGCTTGGAAGTGTCCTGCAAGTTATCCTGGCCTTAATTATTTATAAGTCTCTCTTCTCTCCTGGTCTTTAAATAAATTTAAGGAAGAGAGCAAATGCTGTGCAACTGGAGCAGTGCCCTTCATCACGCAAAGGGGCTTCTGCCATATGACTTCTCCCTCGTGAAACACCGAGCAGCTTCCCTTTGTCCCTTCAGTCTGCCTTTTAAAAACTAGTAGTAAGAAACTTCAGCCAGCCCCAGCTGTCTTTAGGAGAGCGAAGGATTTTTTTTTTTTTGTGCTTCTGGTTTCTTTCATTTTTAGGTTTGGAGAAGGCATAAAATTCAGTTACTTGCTTTTTGTGTACTGATGGCTTATCTGATTTAATTGTAATGTCTTGTAAAAGGGGGGAAAACCCCCTACGTTCCACAGCCATTAACTTTATCCATAGGGCTTTTTCAAGCAAACAGTATAGGAAATAGGATTTCAAAGTCTGATAGCAAATGGGTTGGCTTGTTCAGTTTTTCCTTGATTTGCTGAAACAATGTTAATATTTACCAAGAACCAGCTAAGATATGGTGCCTCTTCATCTTTGTGCTGAAGAAACTGCATTTAGGATAGGTGCTTTTTAGAAAAGATGTTTTGATTTTCACAGTTTATATGTGATGCTTGTCATCAGGCTGTTTCAGAAGAAGTATTTTGTAGGGTGGAGTTGTCTTCTCAAACGTGTAAGCATGGAAATGAGCTAAAGGCTTACATGCAGTCAGAGCTCTCTGTTGGCCACTCCTGCCCCTGAAAATTACCTTGTGTGTGCAGTCCTGAGTGCACCCACACACCTGGCTGGCCTCCATGGATATACCATGGGCAGGAGCAGGCCATGCATTGCAGGCCATGCAGTCACAGGATCACCAAATGGCCGAGGCTGGCAGGGACCTCTGAAGATCACCCAGCCCAGCTCCCCTGCTGAGCAGGATCACCTGGAGAACACATGGCACAGGATGGCATCCAGGTGGGTTTTGGATATCTCCAGAGGATGCTCCACAATGTCTCTGGGGAACTTGTCCCAGCACTCTGTCACCTCACAGCAAAGAAGTGCCCCTTCATATTCAGCCTGGAACCTCCTGTGCTTCAGTTTGTGCCTGTTGCCTCTCGTCCTGTTGCTGGGCACAACTGAAAAGAGACCGGCTCCATCCTCTTGACACCCTCCCCTCAGATATTTGTACACATTGGTGAGGTCTCCCCTCAGTCTTCTCTTCTCCAGGCAAAGCAGGCGCAGTTCTCTCAGCCTGTCCTTGTACGACAAGTGTTCCAGTCCTCTAATCTTCAGTCCTCAGGGACCCAGTTGGGTACCAGAGCGCTGCCTGCCACCAAAAGATAAGATTTTTAGCAGGGGCCATATATTCACTGGATGTGTCAGGGCTAGGCACAGATTCTCTATGGTGCCTGGAAACTTGGCCACAGTAGGGATGATTATTTTTCATTGAAAAGGAGTGTTTGTCTGCATTCTGCATTTTGAAGAGTGGTGGGTGTTTGCTAACTTAATTTAACCTTAACATTTAACTTTCTGGCAAGTTTTTGGGAGAAGAACTCTACTTGTGGAAAAATTCAGCACTCTGGTAGACCACAACCCTTCTGTTTCCAGTCATCTTCTTTTTCTGTCATCTGCAGCAAGTAAAAATTGATAGTCCTGATGCTTTTTAGATTATGCAACCATAATGAGGCAAAAATACCCCGTTTCCTTTAGGAATCTGTAAATGACCAGGGCCTATAAAACTTAAGATTTCTTATTTAGAAAACTTGACAGAGACTTTGAAAGTGTCGGCTTAACAGAAAACCAAAACATAAAGCTGGTCCAACATCCAGAAGGTGTGTAAATAGAAAAGTTAGGCATGTGCATTGCATTGAGAATTAATGGTTATTACAGGCTGGACCAACTGGAGACAGTTAAGTCTGTCTCAGCCTTGCCATCCCAAGTGTGACATTTCATATGAAAGAACTGTCATCAGGCTTTCATGTACGTGCAGGTGAAATGAAAATGTAACCCAAACTGTGTTACACAAAATGCATCCATTAACCTATTTATGTGTCTACATCTTTAGAAAGTGGTGGTGGCAGATCGCCGTCAATAGACTTGAGGAAAAAATTGTTACTTTACTAGTTCTTGAAAAGTGGAGGAAATACTGTTCTTGATTACCTAAGCAAATTGGGTGATACAATTTACAGAAATTTGTTTGCAATCCATGTTAACATTTCCATTCCATGAGAACTGGTGGCTGTATTCTGGAATAGTATGTCTGTACACAAATGTTCTGCAATGGCTGACCAACAATAGTTGGATTATTCGATTTTTCTGGTAAACAAGCCAAATAAGGCAAATAATTTTGGCAAACAAGGCAATTTTTTACTAACATTGATTTCACCTCTAGGCTACTGTTATCTCTGCGATTACTGTACAGGGGATGGTTCATGTTCTGTAAGGAAATGTGTGCAACTTACACTGATGCAAGATAAGTTTTTTTTTTTTTTTTTTTTTAATTGAATTGGCTAGCTAAAACTCTTTATGTGTCCCACTTAAAATAATCTGCAAAGCCAGAGACTGAACAAGAATACTGTTCTTGATAAGCCACAGTCCTCCACACCCTTCATTCTTTGTAATTTCCTTCCATTCTTCCCACTTTTCAAGTTTCTATTCTAGTTTGGGGTAGGTTGATAAGAAAAATAATTGCCAAATAGCCAAGGGTTAAAGCATTAGCCTGGCCTGTGTGTTGATGCATAGGTCTTCTGTGTTCTCCTGAGCGATCTTGAACAAGCTGGCTGATGTTTGTTTCAATTCCTCTTCTGTGAATCATAGATAATATGTCCCTGCCTCATCAGATTGTTGTGAGGATGTATTAATTTGTGTTTGGTGGCTTCTGATATTACAGTGATGCAAGGTATGCATGCAATCGTGAAAATATTAAATTATGTCTGTACTCACAAAAGTCAGAAACAAGAAATTATAAAGTACAGCAGCGAGTTTGATAGGTTCGTTTGCACTTCAGTCAAATAGTAAATGGCCCTTCTGAGTCTGTAGGCTTTTCTATCCTCAAGCCAGTAGATTACCAGGGTACTCGCACACCTCAGCAGTGAGGAGTTGCCTGTTTTTCTATCTGTGGTTTTGGTTTGGTTTATCTTGCCCTCTCTCTCTCAAAAAAGCCAAGATGTACTGATTTTGGAATATATACTTAATCAAACGTGTGATAGTTATGTTTCTAGTATAGTGATAATCACTGCAGTCAGTTGGGCTGTTTCTAATAATCTCCAGAGCAACTGCATTCGGTAAACCCTGATTCATGCGGTTCTGTGCCAGATGCTGCATGTGGGCAGCGTGCTATCTGTTGGAAATGTCATGGTAGCTAAATGCTGCACGCTCTGCTGGCAGTGCTTCCTGTCATGTCCCTTCAGAAATGGGAGCTAGCTTTTGTTTTTGCTATTATTTGTTGAGAGAAATGGACTTTTAAATGCCACTGTTACTGTTCCTCCATCTCTCTCTCCAGAATATTGAAACAAAACCAGGAAGGCTTGGTAGCAAGTGATTTCTGTTTTCCATTTCATTCGTGCCTGCATGTGGAAAGTGACGCTGTAAAGGTGGTTATGCCTGTGCAAAGGCTTTATTTTGGTTTAGCTTGAACTTGATCCAATCTAAAAAGTTAAAAAAAAAAAAAAAAAAAAAAAAGGGATCTTGCAGATGAAGATCATAGGGTATTGGGTGTCCTTATTCTTTACCTTTAGTTCTTCTGTCTATTCTGTATTTTGGTTTAATGTTTGCACGTGTCCCCGATAAATTTCAGGAGTAGTAATTAGAAACAATTTCTAGAATGTGTTCTCTTCCTCCCACTCGGTTTTATCCTTGCCTCTGACAGCTGTTATTGCAGTTACTCATTCCACCTGAAATGGTGAAATGCAGGACTGCTTTGGAGATGGAAGTGAGCAAAATGTCAGGAATTGCCTCAGAGGAGCCCTCCCTGTGATGTCTGGGATGCTTCTTGCCTTTCACATGCATACCTAGGTTTGATTTTCAGAGGTGCTGAGCACCCGCATTTCCTGCTGACTGCAGCCAGCCTTTCTTCTTTCAAACTCACACCTCTTTTAAATGCTTCTTCCCCTCAGCTTCTTAAGCTAGCTTTCAAAGCTGGCCTGGGGGTACCAAAAACTTAACTTAAAGATTATGTTATAGACCCCTGTGGTGGGGGAATGGTGGGAGAGTTAGCACCTCTGGGTATGTGCCCTGTAGAGTTGCTCTTTGTGTCGAGCTTCTTGTAGAATGACTTTGCAATTAAATTCATGCTTTAAATTCAGCGCCAAAGTAGAAGTTTTGAAAAGATTTGTCATATAATGTGGCTTTTTGGGGGGAGATGTAGTGAGTGCCTGGCAATCTGGTGTGTGGAGGTGTTTGTTTTATGAGCTAGAATGTTGCTGTTTTCCTTTAAGCTTTTTTTTTTTTTTTTTTCTGTTGTGCTGAAATTTAGGAACCTCTTATTTCACACTTAACTCTACTTATTTGTATGTGTTTTGCAGGAATCCTGTGGAGCCCGCCCTGGGAATGGGCATCCACCTCCACTTCTGGAGGAGAGTAACGCCAATTGAAGAAGCCTTCAAGGCGAGCCAACGAGTGTGCTGATACTCTCAGAAGAGCGAAGGGAAGGGACGACCTTCCAGGCCAACAGCCATGCCTTTCGGGCTGAAACTACGACGGACCAGACGCTACAACGTCTTGAGCAAGAACTGCTTTGTGACACGGATCCGTCTGCTGGACAACAATGTCATCGAGTGCACCCTCTCTGTGGAGAGCACGGGGCAGGAGTGCTTGGAAGCTGTTGCTCAGAGGCTGGAATTACGTGAGGTAAGAGTAACTCAGGAAAGACCATCTGTCACTTTATAATTTGACGCATTTTTAGCTCAGGCAGTCTGTTCATTTGAATTGTGTTATTCATATTGCTGGCCAGATATGATCAACAGCTGCAGCTTGGACAAGCGTTTTCTGGTTGCATGAAGACTGGAGATAGAACAATACCCAGGGTTTCATGCTGTTGCTCTTTCACTGTGCATTTGAGAGCTTTTTGTATTATTAAAATGAATTTTCTTTTCTTAGTAAAGGATGGGTCTTACTTTCTGAATTGGGATGCTAGTGGGCCAAGTTGCAGTCATGTTTATTTGAATGTTATCCTAATTTCATTGACACTGTTGAACTATGCCAGTAGGAAGGAGATCACTGGCATTTAAATAGCCACCTTGACATAAATATATTCTTGTTACTAATGTACTGAAACAGGCAGTAGTTGTGTTATAAGCCAGAGCAACTAGTAACAGTTTGAGCATGTTTTTTTCTTCCTTTTGTTTAACTGAAATATTTGGCATCTGAAGCACCAAGAGTCTTCTTTTACATTCCCAATATTTCTGAAAAAGTTAAGAAACACAGACTTTTCTTATTAAAGACTGAAATCTTTTATTTTCTTGCTGTAGAGTTCAGTGTTTAACTCTTGAGCCCTTTCTAGAGGGGCTCAAGCTCTCTCCAGTACGTGGCACAAATGAACAGGCTTTTCTTACCTTCTGTGGACTCATTATGTGTATCCTGCATGCTTCTAGGCTTTTGCAAACCACAAATTGAAAACCGTTGCCTGGGAATTGCTGTATATTGTCTGGCTGTCCTGATGGATGCTTTCTATAAGGACAGCTGGGAACTCTGTTAATCTTGCAGTATCTTATATTTGTTCATATAGGGCCTTTTGTAGTGGTGGCAACTGGAAGGTAGAATACAAATAGCTAGTACAGATGAAAAATAATCACTCATTTTAGTATATCAGAAATGATAAAGAATGAGAGAGTAATTTTACTGTGTGTGTCTGCAAAAGAGGCAGAGCAATGTGCAGGCAGGAATAGGGCTGAATCAGAATATTGTGTTTATTTATTTTCAGAAGAGGATTTTAGTAGAAGTATTTTTACTACCCCAATCTTCTAGGTGTGAGGAGTTCCTAGTAACTATAAATGATTTTTTTTTTTTCCTGTTGGTGATACTTTAGCCTCCTTACAGAGGCTAGGTCTTTCCCTCTTCTTCCATTGCAGAAAGGAGTGAAATGAATGAGGTGATTCTCCTCGTATTCCTTATGGGTTTTTCTAGTTGGCGCAGCAGAGATGTGGGGCCTAATGATGCTTTTGATGCAGGTCCACCTGCATTTGCAAACAATAGTTCTGTCAGTGGGTTAACATTTTTCTTCACAAAGCATTTTATGATTTCAGAACATGTTTTGTTCAAAAGGGGAACAAAGCCTGAAGTTTCAGAATTTTCCAGAGAAACAGATCAGACAGTGGAGTAGCAAAGGAAGTTGTTTTGGTCAGTATTCAATTTCATGGGGGCTTTGTATTGCCTTGGTGTTTTCTTTCATTTTCAAAATTGTTTGTGTCACGTAAAAAGAAATGTCAGCACAAAAAGTTTGTGTTCCAAGATGAAAAAATATTTTAACAACGCAGGAGAGAATGCTTTGATGTTGTTGGAACATTTTCCCCTTCTTTCATCACCCTCCGCGCTTTTTTTCCAAACAGAATTTTGGCAACATTGAACCAATTTTGTTAAGTTCAAATTTCAGCAGTGCAGCATATTTTAACAGATCTTTTTTTTTTTTAATTATTATTATTTCCCTTCTCTTATGATTGATTCTGGCAGTATCTACTGCTTCTTTAAATGTTTAGGAGCGAAGAGAATTACCTACCTCTTCAACCCTGAGAGGGTCTCCCTGCAACCTCTCTGCTCATCACATAAGAAATAGTTGGAGCTGGCAAGCTCGGAGGTGCCTATTGCTCTGTGCTGTCCTTTCTCTCTGACCCTAAATTCAATTCTTACTCTGACCGTCTAGTCTTCCTAGCATGGTTTGTGGGGAGAGAAGGCTAATGTGATCATTTGGTGACTGTTCATGACCCTCTCTAAGCCTTCCATAATTGTACAATTCACTACCAAGTAAATTTCACAGAAAAGGTCAAAGGTGTTTTCACAAAGTTTACACTTGTAGATTTCTGCTACTAGGTAACTGGCTAGAGGAGAGAGACCTGTGTACCAGTGTAGGTGGTCGAGGTATGAGTGTACTGGTCGAAGGAGGAAAAACAGCTTTGCAAGAATCCATGTTGGAAAGAGACTCTATGAATTCCCTAAATGCAGCAAAAAACTTTTATGGCATATGAGTAAGGCAGAAACCAAGTTTCATTAAATCCCATGCTTACAAAACTGTTAAAATCCTGTTTGTTTCCTCCATGCAGCCTCAGGTAAAAATGTCTGTTCTCTTAAAAATAACCAATTTTTGTCGGATGCTTTCATTTGCTCTTATATTGAAATAAATCCCAGGTGTATCCCAACTTTTCCCTTTGTGGTAGGAATGTATACATTTCACTTGAGCTGATTTCTTAGAAATAAAACAAAAAAAAAAAGTTGTTTGAAGCCCCTGCCAAAAAGCAAAACTGTTTGAGATGACTGTATGTATTGTTGTGAAGGACTGTCAATCATTACACCACACATAACTGAAAAACAGTATCTAATGGATTATGCATATTTCTATTTGATCTCTGGGGAATGCAGCTCCCTCCCTGACTGAGTCAGGGTTCAAGAATAGGTCAGTAGAAAGTGTAGCCGTGTAACTCCTGTAAGATCTGGTTTTATCCTTTTTCAGCAAAGCTTTTGACAAAGCATCAGGTCTTGTAGCTGAACAGTTACCAGTTCCAATGAAATGAGCTCTTAGGCGAACATGATGTAAAAATGAGAAAAGGAGGAGGGGAGAGAAAGGGGAAGAGAGGACACATCCTCTTAGAGTCTTGTATGTGTGTGCACAGATTATAATTTTTTTTTTAATCTAATGACATTTTTCTCTTTGAGTGAAACTGAGTGAACTTGCTTAAAATAAGCTGTACAAATCTGTTGTGGGACTTTGTTTCTCCGTTCTGTTCTTTGTTTGCTTTATAAAATAAGTTTAAATAGCTTAGCATGGTCTGATGTACTTTAAGGGTTGGTCTGTTTTTGTTTTTGGTTGTTTTTTTATTTATTTTATTTTGGATAGGGAATGGGATAGGCAAAGACAGCTGGGCAAGAAGGTCCCTTCTAGCCAAATTTACCCTTGGATGCTGAATCCCACAGTGGTAGTTCCAGCAGCGCAGTGTTGTAAAACCCAGCCACAGCAATAGGATGTAAGGCTGAGCACTGACTACTTCCCAGGGCTCACCATTTGCTGCTGTTCTGGCCTTTTTTCCTTCTTCTTCCCCCCTGGAAGATCCCCCGTCCTCAGTGGGCAGCCCGTGTTGGGCCACTGGCTTGCCTCAAAGTTTGGCTTGGTCGAACTTGTCTCGACAGCGAAGCTGGGGCTGAGCTGAGGCAGCGCTTGCACGAGAGGCCTTCTAGGAACAGTTGGCTGCCGTAAATGGTGCCTTCCCTCTGAGCGAGCGCCCCGGGACAGCGGAGTTTAATGCTTTTTGCCTGGAGGAGCTGGAACTCTGCCTCTTCCTCGAGGATAAATATTTAGTTGGCTGCTTAACCAGATGCCTTAATAAACACCAAGTCTGTCTTGCTGGATTTTTTTGAGTGAGACTTGCTGGTTTAGTGAGTGTCTATAGCCTGGTGGTGTTGACAATCCTGCTGATTTTGCCTGGCAAAAAGGCAAGTGTGGACTCAGGCAAAGAGGCAAGTCCTCCGGACTTAGGAACACGGCTAGCACCAAGTACAAAATGATTGCGTTGTCTCCTGAACTGACAGATATCTTTTTGTTTTGTTTTGTTTATTTTCCCTTTTTAAGCCCTTTAAGCACCATTTTTACTGTCCAGTTTTCTGACTTGCTGAATTTCAAAGATCACCTTTTCACTTGGTGCCATTTGGGTGCACAGGTTCTCTGGTTCAAACCACATCTCCTGCACTAGCATGAGCCGGGTCTCCTTGTACCACGGATGAAGTGGTTGGTGCCTGGTAGGTGGGGAAAATTCTAAAACCGTAAGAGAAAATTCACACAAAATGTTCTTGCAGGTTTCTTCTTGCATTTGAAGATTAGGCAGGCCAAGAACACTAGCAACTGAAGCTCTTTGTGCACAAAGTGGATGAGTGCATGTATATTCTGTGTTACAGAAAGCTTACCATCAGGGGGTATCACCAGAGTCCCTGGCTAGGAGAAGGTTTTCCAGAAGTGAAGGCATCATTTATTTCCTGAGCCACTTTGCTGATTTTGCCTCCTACAGCAGCCCGTGTTGCTTCAGTGTCTCACAGGAGTGGGAGTTGATATTTATTCCATGAAAACTGGAATGGAGTTGGTGGTTTACATGGATGGACAAACAGACCAGCTTCTGGAATCAACCTTGTTTTCAATCAACTGCTTCTAGATGAAAAAATTCCAGTGTTTTTATTAGCCTCTCAACTCATCTGTGGGTTGTTTGTGCTGTAAAAATGTGTTGTGGGCTGGAGTGTGTGGCAGGCAGCACATGACTGAGGCCGTCTGCAATATCATGTGGCTGGTCACAGCACACTGGACTTGAAGGTCCAGCTATTGCCAGTCCCATGTTCCTCTGGTTGTGTTCAGGAACTACTGATGTCCCTTGGGTAGAGGGGTCTCTTCAGGCGTTTGCAGGAGTGGTTGTGGAAGTCCTCCTACGCAGCAAGCAGTTCAGAAATGCTAACGTTCTCAAAAATAAAATTCCCAGCAACTGGAAGCTGGAATTCAGATAACTGTGTTGCTCATCTCTTCCCAAGTGCATGCATTTGTGACTTGATCTCTGCTCCGCAGTCTGTGTTTAATGTAATTGCTTGATCCTCTGCAGGCCGCTTTCCAGGAAAACAGACGTCTTTTGGCTGTGTGAAATGCATGCTTGCCGTGGGGCACTCTGCTGCATCTGCTCTGCTCTAGAAGCTTAGATCTTGCATTCCCTTTGCTTCATATTGCTTGAAAGTGATTCGGATTTTCTTTTTTTTTTTTTTTTCCCTGGATGCGGTATGTTAAGAGCCTTCTACTGTAGCAAATCAGCATTTTTGTAGCCCCCACTGCTCAATGTGGTGGAGACTGCTCAATCAAGCTGTTTAATTGTAATACCCTCAATCCCTTTGAATAATTGTTTTAGACTTCAGACTGCAAGTTGACGCAGACGATTCAGTTGCTAAGATGTTTAAAAAGTACTTGACACTGAAAACTGGGGTCCCAGGTAATGTGGCTGTTTACTTTTTAAGGTAATACAGAAGATTTGTGTTCACAGATCTGCACAGTTTCTTGCTGGGGATGAGCTGCCCTGTGCTGATTTTTCAAGAGTTCATATATTAAAGGATTTCCTTTATGAGGTGGTGAAATCACTGTGTGTTTTTCTGCTCTCACATGAATTCTTTGCCTTTATTGTCTCCACTGTCCCTCCCACCTTCATTTTAATCTAATTACTATCACAGTCAGCCGGTCCAAAAGAACTTCTAATCAAGCAATGTCTCTGTAGGGAGTAAGCATCTATCAGTGTATTAGTGAATTTTTGTTTTCAGCTTATCCTATGGGAGACGCTGGCTTCTTGATTTATTTATGCCCTGAAATTGATGGATTCATTGGAGATGCCTTCTCTTCAAAAAGGAACCAGCTTGCTACACTGTACCAAACTAAGATTAAAGAGAAAAGACTAAGCAGTGTACAAGGTTTGACATGCTTAATTGGGGGATCAAGTTGAATTAGTTATCTCTTCAGCTATGTGCTAGTCTGGACATTCCCAAACTTGGAATTATGTACGTGATGAGACCATAAAGTAAATACACCTGTACTATGATTCACGGTTTTTGCATATGATATTTACGTGCTGTCAGCTATAAAAAAAAAAAAAAGAAAAAAGAAAAAAAAAGTTAGAGCAATGTTGCCTCTGCTGCTTTGTTTTAACTTTCAAGCAATTACGTTATTAATACTGCATTAGTTGCCATGTCCTGTATGCGAAGTCATTGTAGATGCAATGATTTTTAGAGAAGTATCCTTTCCCAAGTGAAACAGGCTGGTCATGGGTACTTTTGCAAAGATTAATGTTGCTATTTGTCTTTTGACAAGAGATTTTTGAAAGTGAGAACATCTGGGAAATTCAGATGGAGAAATCTTGATGGTTAATTTCTAGACCAAACTTTTTGAATGGATTAAAAGTAATTTCAAATGAAAACTTTGTAAGACAGGCCTCAAGGCTTTTTTCCTCTTCTTTCTCCAGTATTTTAATTTAAAATATGGTGCTGTGTACAAAAGAATGTGACTGCCTGTGGAAGGATTGTTGTCCAGTTAAATTATAATAACAAAATAAGTATTTCAGAGTGAATCTAAACTTACAGAAACTACTGGGAAGTTTTTGTTGAATAGGAAGTCAGTTGGATTAAGCCTCAAGAAATAAATATTTTGACATAAAACAACAGAAATATGCAGAAATAATGATCCTACTTTCAGCTCCTAAATCTGCTTGGTGTCCAAAAAGTTCCTTTTGCTGTTTCAGTTTGATTAATTTCAGTGTTAATACAGAGTCAAATTTTGTATTGAGGGCATTGCTGGAAATATGATGCTGTCAGCTGAAATATTGTAGAAAAAATGTTGGTATGAACTTCACAGTTAGGGCTACAGTCAGATTTCCAAGTAAGGAATGGCTTTTTTTCCTTTATTAAACACAAATGCTTCTTTTGCTGCTTTTTCTTCATATCTCTAGTTGTGGTAATTGCTGTTATTTGTAACATACGTCTTTGGGCAGTGCTGATGACGTGGGTTTAATCTCACAAATGCTTTTTAAATTGTTATATTTTAATAAAGTGTGCATTATGTTCTGTATCGGGAAAATGGTTCTGGTATTGGTAGATAATTGTTGATATGTGTATAGGTCTGCATTATTTCTGTATAGTTGGAAGAGTTGCCTTGTCCTTTGATTGCAGTGGGCCTGATCTCATGAAGTCTCTGTGCTTTGATTAAGACTTAGCCTTTGCTGTCTGTTCACAAGGTGCAGGAGTAAGCAAGTCAAATAAAACTGAGCCAGGCACTTTCTGTAAACCATTTGTTACCTGTGCCATAATCTCAGACAGACCTCTTTAGTATATGTTTGGAGACATAAGAGAGTTGATAGTACTGCGTGAAGTCTATTGCAATATTAATTTGTCTTCAAGGCTGTTCTAAAAGGCACAGGACAATAAAATAAATAAAAAATTGCTCTCATGCTGCATATGGGAATAGAAAATTTGACACAATGCCATCTGTTCTTATTTGCATTTGTTGTTGGTTTATGTGTGTGGTCTAGCTGAAAAAGATAAACTGACACTATTTTGTTTCTTTATCTAGACACACTACTTTGGCCTTTGGTTTCTCAGCAAGAGCCAGCAACTCCGCTGGGTTGAACTGGAAAAGCCTCTGAAGAAGCAGCTGGACAAATTTGCCAATGAGCCTTTGCTTTTCTTTGGGGTAATGTTCTACGTGCCCAGTGTTTCCAGACTGCAGCAGGAGGTAACAAGGTATGTGGATTCCCTCTGTTCACACAGTGGTGTTATAGCTGGGAGGGAACAGACAGTTGCTCTGTTTCTGGCATTCAATATTTGCTCAGGTATCATCTGGTTCTTTTCCTTTCCTGCCTACAGCCCAAATGGGAAAAAGAAAGAAATCACCACTAGGTTATACCTGTTAGGGGGGAAAAAAAAAAAGAGGTACAAGTATTGGTGAATGATTGTATGTGGTAAACTGCAGAAACAAAAAAGGACTAATAGATACACAATTAAAACTCTGAAATATGTTTTAAAAGGGACCACACTGACCATACTCTTCTTTAACCTCCCAATGATTAAAAGAAAGCCATAGAGAGATGACTTCTGTATACATTTTTAGTTTATTATTCTCTTGTGCTTTGCTGCAAGTGAACTTTGGTTTCTTTTCTGGGTTTTGCCCATCCCATTCCTGGTCTTTCCCCTTATAGTTCACAAGAGGATTAAAATTGTTAGAGGGTATTAGTCCTTTAATTATGATCAGGGTGTACCTTTGCAAACAACTTATGTGGGAATTACTTTTTTATTCAGAGCCCTGTGCTGTGGTTGTAACAATGCAACTGTTTTGAGGGGCTGTTCTTGTAAACCACATCACTGTGGTTTGCTCACATCTGTGTTGTATTTGGGGGGGAAAAAAAAGCCCACCTCGCCCCAAAAGGGGTGGGCTTGTTTTCTTTTTAACCAAAGTTATTTCATGTATCTGGTTTAGAACAAAGTTGCATCAGCACAACTGTACAATGTGAGGTCGAGACTGTAGTAACTGGGTAAGGAGTACAGGCTGGCAGAAGCTTTCTTTACCAGCCTTGAAAAAATGTCCTGTTGCTGCAAATGTGAAATGCACCACGTGGTCATTGTATCTAAAAATGATATATAAATAGTTGAGAAAGAGTGGAATAATTCTAGCAAGTGTGCAAGATGTGAAATATTCTGGGGATTTGCAGATAGTATATTTTAAAGGATATAAAGGATTTTTTTCTTAACACTGGACTGGGGAATTGGATAGGATGCGAAAGATGTGATTTCTAAAATGACAAATGTGAAGAAGTCTCTTGACTACTGTTTGTGCAAAATTCTTGCCAAACAGTGGGCTGACACCATAGAACAACTTCCATTTCCGTGCAAATAGACTTGAGACTGAATGTCAATGGTTATCTGTAACCGTGTGTTCCTGTCTTGTGTGCTTTGGGAGAGGGAAAACTCACATCGTTTCCTTCAAAATTAATTAATATGAAGTCAGAATGTCTGATTTTTTTTTCTTCTGTTGCTCACATTTGTTAGCACAGTCCCGGCCTAATTGTGTGCAAGGAACAATTGTAGATACTTGGATGCTATTATGTCTTCGAGCTGCAGCCTGCAGTGCTGATTGCTCATTCATAGCTCACCTGCAGAGGTATATTTGCTCATGCTGCACAGGTTGGTAATAACAAAACATTTCAGCGACAATTGAACTTCACAGCACTCTCAATTTGAGTGGCTGCTGATTTTTTTTCTTTCTGATGTGATTGATAACATAAGCTGTAGAGACTTACAAGTGCCTCTCATATTTCTTTGAATATCTACAGCAAAAACAGCAGCTTCCTAAATGGACCTCAGATACAGAATAGCCTGTTAAGATTTGTTTTTTGTCTCTTGAAAAGGAATTGCTTCACTGTAGGTGTTGTAATAGCAACAAACCTTCAACTGTGCAATTCTAGGTAGATGCAGTAAATCTCAAGTTCAAAGTGATGAGTGGCAGGGACATGGAGAACTGTTCTGAAGGAAATGGCAGAGGAAAGCATAGTCTGAAGTGTGATTAGATGGACAAATTGGGTTGGTTTCTAGGTTTCTGGGGGGCTTCACTTACTCTTGGTAAATAGATTAAACATTTGTTTTGAAATTGAGACTAGCTGCTTTTGGGGTTAGACTTGATTACCTGTGATAGTGAGACAGGACTTGCCTACTCTGTGCATATGTGTTTGACTTTTCTATGTGTGCATGCAAATGACAAATCTGTCTTAAATGCAAAACTTCTGATCAAGCACTCATGTCTTTCTGGGAAGCTGCACAACCACCTCAAACAAATAAATCCAACCTCAAAACAAAAACATCACCAAAGGCTGAAGCTGCGAAAGTAGTGACAGTGCTGCTAGCGTTGAACCTGTTACCTGTGTAAGCTCTTCATGATGGAAACATCTCTAACTCCAAGCTTTCCTGGATGTGGTGAAACCCATCTCTCAGTCCAGGCTTTCAGTTAATTGAAGACTCCAGCATTGGCTAATGTTCCTATGATGAAATGACAAAAAATCTTCCGAGAATACCTCAATAAACACTTGCATAGGCCACAAGTATTCAGAAACCAAGGGATTAGTTCACTGAGATGGTTTACTCTGCCTCTGATCTGTAGGGTTATAGGCTGTGGCTTGATAGCTGGTTATGAAAGATTTGTCCTGAGCTGAATATTTTGCCCTACTTCCAGGGACTGTAGCCCCCACACCCAATGTGCTGTTGTTGGGAAGAGGGGAAATGATCCAAGACTTAAATTTTGTTGAGCAAGAAGAGCTCTGCTGTGGGGTTGGTCATGAGCCTTGAAGCAGTCTTTCATTATCACTTTTATTTGAAAGACTGACTCTTCAAAACAATCTTTGGACCATTTTGTGTTCTGCTATTGGTTGGTGATTGGGACTAACAGGAGGAATCCTTGTACAAATAAAGCAACTCCTATTTAGGTGATGCCATAAGAGTTTGTTTATAAAATTGTAACTTCTGTACACTTTGCTTTTGGAAGCTCTAAAATGCTCATAATGCTTGTAGGCACCTGGATTTTAGCTGCCTGCAGGTGTTGGTAGTGATCAGGAGCTTTTCATGGTTTTGCTGGTAACTTCCTATATTGGACAAGCCAAACGTGGATGTAGAAATGAGAATAACACTGCTCTGAGCCCTGTGTGGCAAGTAGACACTGTGGAAACCTGTCCGTCTGTTACATGCTGGGAGAGGAATTTACTAGTAGTCCAGTGACTACTAGTAACTAGTCAGTACCGTCCATCTGAGGTACAACGTGAGAGTGTCAACTGACACACTGAAGCTAAAGAAGAGTAGCAGCACAAACCATAGGATGTTTGAGGTTGGATGAAGTCTCTGGAGATCATCTAGTCCAACCCCCATGCTCAGAGCTGGGCAAGGCTGCTCAGGACTGTGCCATGTTGAGTTTTAAGTATCTCTAGAAGGAAACTTCATAACTTGTCTGGGCAACCTGTTCCACTTTTTAGTCTTCCTCACAGTAAAGGTGTTTTTTAATGTTTAGATGGGAATTCTTGGATTGTAGTTTGTGCCCCGATGGTCTTCTTTCAAAGGTGTGGATGACTGTGGAGTGATGGAGTGGGTGAGTGGGTTCTCTAGGTCACTGTGTAACTGCTCACTGAGGACCTTCAGAGCTGCAGGTGCCTGTCGTGAAACTGCAGGCACAGCCCTGGCTCTGTGGGACGTCTGTAGTTAGGACATAAGAGGTATTTGTGATAATGTGGGAGAGAAGGGCCTGTGGGATCCTTGGGAAAGAAAAGTGAAAACAAGTCTGACAGAGTGGTCTATTCAGTTAACAACTCCTTGAAGTCAACCTCAGAGGCCTGCAAGAAAAGATGGGGCAAAGGGGTATTCAGGGGAACACACAATTTGTTGTAGCAGGTCACATCTGACTCTGTGGCTTGCTTACTAATTTGTTCCTTGCTTAAAGATGCAAACACCAGTGGTGAGGGTTTTGTTTGTTTTATGTTTTTTGTTTTTTTTTTTTTCTCCTCAGACAAAGCTAAGTGGAGCACTGGGACAGAGTAAGAAGCAGCAGTAACACAGTAGCTCTTGTTTGGCTAGTGATTTTGCGTGCAAGTGGTGAGGCTTCTCAGGACAGCTGCGTTTCCTGACCTATGTTGGAAGCTTCCGGCAGATATCTTTGGGAAACATACAAAAAGCAGCCACCTGCCTCTTCTTCCTGGCAGAATTAACAAAATATTATTGCCGTGCCTTCCTCTCAGAGTAATACCATTATACTCTTGGTGCTGGGCCTTCTCCTAAAAGACCTTTTTCCACACCCTGGTCCTCTTGTTTCCCTATAGTAGAGAACAGTAGAGATCTGTTTCTTTTGTTTCTTTCATCTTGGGTTGAGGCTCCCATTTGTACATACCTTCTGATCATACCCCTGTCTCTTCTGAGATCCCAGTGACTCCAGCATCTCCTCCACCTCTGATCCTAGCGTCCTACCTGCACCCAGTCCCACAGACATCTTCCAGTGGGAATTACGAAGTGTAGCCCCATGATCATTTTCTAAGGCATCAAAGAACTTGCACCATTTTATAATCACAGTAATTAAAAAAAATAAAATAAAATAAAATAAACCAAAACAAATAAGCCAAATTAAGAAAAAAAAATCATCTAGTGGAAGCTACAGCAGATGCCATTTGTTTGGGAGTACAGGGGCTGGCACATTAGCAAAAGGAATTTTTCATGGAAGGCTCTACAGGCTACTTAGATAACCTCTTTTTAGTCATCCAGCTGTTCTTGGAGTGAGCAGCCATCGCAGGTGGAGATGCTGCACATGCTTTTGGCATATTTAAGGCACCTGGGATTTGCATACTGTCTGATATAAAGCAGTCTTTGTGATGCCCTGTAGAGCAGATATTTGCATAGATTAGAAATATAAATCTGCCTTTTATTTTCTGCTAACTCCTCAGAGGGGAGGCATCCTTTCAACCACCTATTTAAAAAAAGTAAGTCTTTGTACAGTGTCTAGAGTAAACAAGAGTGCTTTCACTGTGCTCCTGTTCCAAAAACAGAGAACCCCCACACTCTTGTGGCTTTCTGAAAATGTGTGTGCAGTGCTGCTTTCTGTACCAGTGTCAAACAATCTGTGTCCATCTATGTTTTTTTGTTTACATTTTCAAAGGAAAACAGAGATACTGTGGGGACTAAAATGTTACTTCAATCTTCACACATCATACTGCTAAGCCTCC